GCTTCGGGGAGTAGTTCTGGTTGTTGGATGGAACCTCACCCCCCACCCAGCCCCTCCATAGCGCCAGGCATCTCTGGGGCCCAAGGGAGCTACTGGGGATAAGGCAGTGGAATAAAGTGACCTCCCTGCTCTCAAGGCTCTGACATCAAGGTGAGGGGCTGGGCCATCTGAGGCCAAGCAGGTTTGTGCCAGAGCAGCCCGGAGACGACAGCACGGAGTCAGGTCACCAGAGGCTCCTTCAAGACTCCCCAGGCCCCTCCTGCTCTGACACCAAAGACAGTTCCCAGGAGCATCCACGGTCCTTCTCCACTGGCAGCAAAAGAGATTAGCTCCTGGAAACTGTCACAAAGTTAGGGTCAGCCCTAGGTTTTACATCCTACCCAAACATTGTGTTTTTAAATTTGCCTCTAAATCTTCCCTAGATTAGAGACAGCTGATCGTCAACACATCTTTGTGATCTCAGTCCTTCGTTTTGAGCCTGTCACTGTAGGTGAGAGGATGAAAGAGGCATGAACAAGGGTGAGGAGGCTGTCACTGCTTTGATGGACAGAACTCAATATTATTCCATTCAAACCAAACCAAACCAAAGCCTGTCTGTGAGAAGAGACTCAAAAGTCATGGGATTTTGATGATCTCCTAGTTTACTTGTCCTTAACACTGAGGAAACACAAGAGAGGACCCGTCCACCCTTTAAGTTATTTCAGGAAGGTGGAAGCCCTTTCCTTTTATTTCAATTAATTTTAAGCATCGAAAGGAAAAAAACCCAATCTAGCATCAGAAGAAAGAACAAAATCCCTTTCATGATTTTCTTACTGGCAGCTTCTGCAAATCACCTGCAAATTAACCTCTCTGAGCCTCAATTTTCTCAACTGTACAATAAGGGGGCTGGTTTTTAGGTCTGGGGCATGTGAGTCTCCTAAACACTTCAGTCATTCATTTAATATTCAAGAACTAACACAGATACTAGGTTACAGCAATAAAACAATGCAGGCTAGCCCACTGTACTCCAATTCTAAAAAGACCAAAAATGAAGAACTGAATAAGATCATGTCAGGCAGTGACAAGCACTAAGAAAATACACAAGGAGTGCCTGGTTAGAGGGTGGAGTGCCTTAGTCTGCACTTGGGAGGGGGCTCAGGGACAGCCTCTCTGAGGAAGAGAGTTGAGTACAGTCTGGGATGATGACGAGGAACCAGTCACTTGATTCCACACAGAGCTAACAGCATAGGCAAAAGTCATGAGGTGGGAATAGCTTATTTGGGTCTCCTCACAGGTGAAAAAGAGGTGCCCTTCTTTTTCATTTTATACCCTTCCTCTCAGTACTATGTATTAACTTCACTTAAATATATTTGCACACAGCCCTTTTTAAAAACGGCTTATTATTTATGGCTGTGCTGGGTCTGGAGAAGGCAATGGCACCCCACTCCAGTGCTCTTGCCTGGAAAATCCCATGGACGGAGGAGCCTGGTAGGCTGCAGTCCATGGGGTCACGAAGAGTCGGACATGACTGAGCGACTTCACTTTCACTTTTCACTTTCATGCGCTGGAGAAGGCAATGGCAACCCACTCCAGTGTTCTTGCCTGGAGAATCCCAGGGACGGGGGAGCCTGGTGGGCTGCCGTCTATGGGGTCGCACAGAGTCGGACACGACTGAAGCGACTTAGCAGCAGCAGCAGCAGTGCTGGGTCTCCGCTGCTGCACGGGCTTTAATGCACTTGTGGAGAGCAGGGGCTACTATCCAGCTGCAGGGTGCAGGCCTCTCACTGCAGTGCCTGCGTGCTAAGTCGCTTCAGTAGTGTCCCACTGTTTGCAACCCCCCCGGACACAGCCCACCAGGCTCCTCTGTCCATGGGATTTTTGCAGGCATGAATACCGGAATAGGTTACCATGTCCTCCTTCAGAGGATCTTCCCGACCCAGGGATTGAACTCTCATTTCTTACATCTCTTGCATTGGCAGGTAGGTTCCTTACCACTTGTGGTGGCTTCCCTTGTTGCAAAGCACAGGCTCTGGGGTACACCGACTTCAGCAGTTGCATCACATGGGCTCAGTAATTGAGATTCCCGGGCTCTAGCACACAGGCTCAACAGTTATAGTGCTTGGGCTCAGCTGCTCTGGAGCATGTGGGATCTTCCCAGACCAGGGATTGAACCCGCGTTGAACCCACGTCTCCTGCATTGGCAGGCAGATTCTCCACCAGGGAAACCTGCACACAACTTTTTTTTAATTTATTTTTTATTGAAGGATAATTGCTTTACAGAATTTTATTGTTTTCTGTCAAACCCATACACAACTTTTTAAGGAGGTGCAAAAACTAGCACTTGATTTGAGCAGTTCCTTCAAAACAGACTTCTTCCACACCAACTCCTTTGTGCCTCTCAAGCTTCTGTCCTCAGGGTTATAAATTCTCACACTATTTCAGGCAGGAGTAAACAGGATTTTAATCAGCGTTTTCCATACTTTTACGACAGTGATCCACAGCGCTACAGAAATCTTAATTACACTGTGAACCAGTGTCCACATACAACTGAAATAAAACTTTTTAGAAAATCGGCCATTGTAGTACATTCTATTTAATTTTATTTTTTTAAAAGGTGATAAGGTGATTTCATGGAGAACTTACAGTTTGAAAATCACTATTCTAACCCAACAATGACTAGTAGTTTTGTTCAAATTTTTCCAAACTGTGGAAAAATTCAATATTCAACAACCTCGAAGGCCATTTCCCCCTCCCTTTTCCCTGCACACATACTTGCTTTAAAGCAAATGGAACCCAAATTTCTGGGAAAGAAACACCCAGTGGGGACATCTTCAGGACAGTGAGAAAAGGAAGGGGGAGGAACCCACACAAGCAAACTGTTTACTAGGGGAGAAGACAAGACACCTCAGGTGTCAAAGATGGCCCAAGAAGGAAAGATTCAGTCTCCACAATAGCTAAAAAGGAGTGTGTGTGTGTGTGTGTGTGTGTGTGTGTGTGTTGGCAGAAGCAGGTCTATTAGGTGAGCCATTAGATTTTAAGTTTCTAGAAGGAAGTCAATCTAATCTGTATCCCTACCTTGCTCATCATAATTCCAGGCCTATGTGGACAAATGTGTCACTGCAGCCCTGAGAATCAGACTTTGAATTTAGCACAGAAGTCACGAAGAGTCCCTTGGATAGCAAGGACATCAAACCAGTCAATCCTAAAGGAAATCAACCCTGAATATTCACTGGAAGGACTGATGCTGAAGCTGAAGCTCTAATACTTTGGTCATCTAATGCAAAAAGCTAACTCCTTGCAAAAGATTCTGAGGCCGGGAAAGATTGAGGGCAGGAGGAGAAGGAGATGACAGAGGATGAGATGGTTGGATGGCATCACCGACTCGATGGACTTGAGTTTAAGCAAATTCCAGGAGATAGTGAAGGACAGGAAGGCCTGGCATGCTGCAGTCCATGGGGTCCCAGAGTCAGACACAACTTAGTAACTGACCAACAACATGGGTGCTCAAGAACATTCTGAATAATGGAGCTCATTGTCAAATTAAACCCTAACTTTGCATGTATAACCCAATGATTACATTTTCATGGAATGTAAAAATGTCAGGCCATAGTAAAAGAAACTTCTTTATCTTCAAGTCACTGTTTAAGTCCAGGGAGCTTAATCAGGTATTTTTTTCTCAGCACCAAGTGGGAGAAGGATGTTTTGAATTGCAAGATACAAGAGCAAGTACTGGCTGTAATGGAAAGATTCCGTGTCTGCTAGTGGCCATGGTAAACAGCTGGGATTAAAACGAGTGTGTTAATTTAATAGGTTATTTCTCAAGGGACACTAACCAATAGGCTCTGTCAGCCAAGGGCTCTCTTTCATAGAAACCACGCCAATTTCTCTGTGGAACACAGTTACTGTCCTTACCCCTGAAGTCAGAAGTGCACGCACCCAATTTCCAGTAGCCCTGGGGCCGGGAAGCCAAAAATTACACCTGCAAGCAAGCATTCTCCTAGCCTGCCACACAGCTGCCACACACAGAGAGACCCTCATTTAAACTGTGTACCCTTCAACCCCATACACGATCGTCATTAATGACTGCAAATTACAACTGTTGCTTTCTCCCAAAACAGTGATAAATAGAGGAGCTACTTTCAAAATGCTGTTCTTTTAAGTCATTTATCTGCTCTCCTCTCGGGGGCAAAAAGAGATGTTGAGACAAGTGTGAACCTGCCAGAGCTTCTTATTATAGATGCAGCCCTCCTTCCCTCCCTCTCTTTTCCACTCCAGTACCCTTTTCTCTCTGGGTTTCCTGACCGAGGCACCAGCCTCTGGGAAGGAACTGCAAGTGGCTTCTTATCAAAACTAGGAGGGATTCAACGGACAGGGGGTTGAGTCAGCCTACAGAGGAAAGAACCACTCCCTTATCCTAGCAGGTCAACAATAAGTCGGGTTTCAGAAAGGAAAGAAGTCTGAGGAGGGCGGTCAGCCCATTCCAATTCAGGAGCATCCGCACACACGTCAAGAGGGAACAACGCGTGCTGCCTCACCGGAGGTGTGGGCAGGCGAATGCATGCTTCTGCGCAGGGACAGCCTATATATGGGCGAGACATCAGTGGCAGCGAAGGGAGACCTACCACGCTTGACAAAGCCACAAGTGTTACGACTTGAAATATCACCCGCAGGGTACCGGCTTCGGTGCCAAAATCTCCCCGGATTTATTTTCAGGCAAGTGACTCACAGTCTCGTCTCCATAAGTAATTCCATTAAAATGAGTCGCCAGTTCCACTAACCCGACTTTCCGCTGCCCTCTGTCTGCCCCTCCCTCCTCTCCGCCCATCCTGCAAACCCAGACAGCTCAGAGACTGAGCAACCCTACCCCGGGGAAGCAGAAGGCAGCCTTCCCGGCCCGGCCCCCACCCTCCCGGCAGAATGAATGGGGCCGGCGGCTGGCGCGAGCGCAGGGAGGGCGCGTGCGGGCCGTGCGCGGGGTGGGTACGTGTGTGCGCGCGTGAGCACGCACCCGGCCAACTTACGGAGGTGGAGTTGGTCCTCGGCTGGCCTTGGTTCCGCACCTCCTGCTCCCGGAACTGCAACCCGGCCAGATGCTTCTCCAGCGCCTCCCAGTCCATAGGGGGAGCCGGGGGCTCCTCAGGGACGCACGTCCTGCTGTCCGTGGGCTGAAGGCAGAGGCCCCCGGCTGCCGGGCCCCGGCCGCCGCGCCGGCCCCCTGCCGGCTGGGGCTTCTGGACCGCGCGGCGCGGGGCCCGGGAGCCGCTCGGCCGGCCGGCCACCACCACGTTGCCATTGTGCCTGAGGTCCTGAGGGTCGTGCGGGTGGAGGTTGCCGTTGGGCACCGGGGGCGGCATGGCGGTGGTGGCGCTCCTGCCCCCGCCGCTGCGGGGCCCGGCGCTCACGTCCCCCGGCTCCCGGGCCGGACAGCGGTCATCCCTGTACCCTCGCTCGTGGCGCCCGTCCTCCTCTTCCTTCTCCTCCCCGTCCTCCTCCGGCGCCCACTCATCAATCACCTTCTTCTGGTAGACCGGGAAGGGCTCCTCATAGTCCTCCAGGGCAGACACCAAGTCCAGGCTGCCCCCCGGCGACGACGAGGATTTGCACTCGGAGCAAGGGGTCACTTTGGTGGAGTTGGACTGCGAACTGGCGCGGCTGCTGCTGCTGCTGCTGCTGCCGGCGTCACTGCCTAGATCCATCCCATCCTCTCGGTAATCCTGGGGGGAGGAGGCAGAGAGAGTGAGCCGCTGGCCGAGCCTGCCCCGGCCGCCCGCCGCCCGCCGCGAACGCCCCGGCCCAGCAGTGCCCCGCGCCCGCCAGGCTGGAGGTGCGCCCCCGAGAAGGCGTCGGGGTGGGAGCCGGCACCGGCTTGAGGCTTCCCTCATCGCATCCCTTCCCCTGCGACGAGCGGATTTCCTCCGGGCAACTGACCCTCAAATCAGCAAAGGGGGTGCCCAGGCGCTGGCGCGCAGACTTTTCATAAGAGGGGCCCCTAGGCGCGCGTGGACTTTTTTAACCATTTTGTGCCGGGTGCGCCCCCGCACCCCGCTCCAGGGATTCTCCGAGAACCAGACACTTTCCCAGCGGATTCTAATTCCCTGGGGGCGGGGACCAAGAAGAGGGTGGGCGGCTACTAAACTCGCACCTCGCGCTAGGCGCGGAGACCACCCCCTACCCGGCCCGCCCCGCCCCCGCCGGCGGCCGGGAGGCCGGCTCCGCTAGCTAGCTGAGCTTTACTTTCTAAGGAACCGCTGGCAGCTCGGAGGTCTCACTCCCGCCTCCGCGCCCCTCGAGCCAGCCCCGCCTCTGCTCGCCGGAAGGTTCCGGGTGGGGGGCACTCTCGGCTCCCACCGAGCAGGGTGGCCCCCGCCGCCCCCAAAGGTGTGCGGGGCCGGGGCGCGGCGGCCGTAGCTGCAGGCGCCGCCGCCGCCGCCCTGGGGGAAGGAGGACGCGCCCTGCCGGCGCGGAGCGGGTCCCGCCACCGAGCATGCCCAGAGGCTGCCGGGCGCGGCGGAGTCCGCTCTCCCGGCTTTCTCGGCTGCAGGCTGGGGCGGGAGGCCGGGCAGGGACGGGGTTGGAGGGGCCGGGAAAAGGCCCGAGGGAAGGGGACTCGGGGGCTTTAGGGACGCAAACATGGCCACTTGGCAGGGCTGGCGCCCTGGGGAGAGTGGTGAATTTTAACCCCCAGACACACTCATATTTCCTGCGCGTGCCTCAAGCCCTCTCTGCGGGGTTCATTACCCCGCCTAAACCTCCCGGCACCCCAAAGCGCAGGCCCCTGCCTCCTAAACCTACGCGGAAGTCCCCGGGTGACCCCTTGCAGGACCTCCCTCCCCCTACACGCGCACATACACAAGCCCATGTGGGAGCCCGAGTGACGTGTGCTCCGTGGTCATGCACCATCATTTCCCTTCCACCTTCCTCCTCCCCGCTTCCTCTCCCTCCACCGCCCAGCTCCTGTCGCCTGGCTCCAGCCTCCCCTTCCAAGTTCAGGCTGTGGGTGGGACCTGTTGCTTTAGCACACGTTTTCTTTCCCTTCCTGGCTGCTCGCAGAGAATGACCTGTGAGAGGTGTGTGTATGAGGAACAGAGGAGTGCAGATGGGACTAGTAGATGGCATGGAGGTGGGGAATCTGTTCTAAAGGTTTGGGCATGCCCCCGAAGTCCCCCTTGGCCACCTCCGATCTAGGAGACTTTAAAGGAGGGGAAGAGGTGGGTGTCAGGTCACATGCCGCCTGGCTTGGCTTCCTTCAGTTTTTTCGGAAAACCGAGTCAAAGAAACCTCTGCTGGGTTTTTCAAAACACTGCAACGGCGTTAGTTTGTTAGCTCATCCTCTTTAGGAACAAGGTTTTATGAAATGAAAGAACTGACCCTTGGAAAAAGGAGTTGGGTCACAGAGCATCTTTTAAGGATTGAGAGTTTCCTGTGAACAAACTGTTAGCCAACTCTGGGGAAGAAGGAAATGCCCTCTTTTCTGATTATGAAAAACAGTACTTGGAACTTAAGTGTTCTTCCACAGACCAAAAAAAAAAAAAAAAAGATACATGAGGCGAGGGATGTAACTAGGTGCAGGGGTGGGGGGGTCCCATATATATATATATATATATATATATAGGGTCCCATATATATATATTTAATTTATAGATATGAAATCACCATGGTGGACACTTAAAACATCTAATAATTTTGTATGTCACTGGTACTTCAATAAAGTGGGAAAAAAATTTTTTTAAGAAAATGAAGAACAAGAAAAAAAAAATCAGTGCTTAATTTTACTACAGATTGGGGAAAGCCAGTTTCCTTGAACTTCCAGATTTGGGCCTGTTACTAATTATTCCCTGTGAATTCCAGTCTGGACCAAGCCACTGCCCTGGCTTGGCACCCTCCAGACAGAGAAAAGGGGGAATGCTTGGAATTCTTTAGTAGGGAGTGGCTGCCACCCTGACATTTCTTCTAAGTCCTAAATGGGAGAGACCCTTTGTTTAAGTGATTTCTGTGAAATGAGACTCTTTTCCTCTCTTAGGTAGGCTTGAGCCAGGGAAGATAAGCTAATCTTTTCACGTGTCTGGAAGCAGCTATCTTATTTATGAATAACAGGAAAGGGGCCTTCTGGTCTGTCCCGTTTACAGCTCTTTTGTAAAATAGGATGACGGAATATAAGTTAAAATGTCTTTTATGGTAACATCTGTAAACAGCCTGCCTCCTGCTCCAAATCTGGTTTGATTTTGAGGTTGCTACGGAGCCCTGGGTCAGTGGGCTGCCCCTCTGTGGAACAGAGGAGACCCTGTGAGTGTCCAGGGATAGGAGTAGAAGACGTTGTGTGCTGGAAACTGGGGAGCTACTTTTCAAGTCACCATGTGAAGGCTTAGGTCAGAAAAAGCTCATGCTCTGTGGCGGGACACCGGTAGACAGACAAATGTTTATCTACTGGGGCTATACGGGAGAGCTGTGGTCTCTGTCCAATTTTCAAGCATCAGGACCTCCTCAGCCAGCCCCCCAGACTCCCTCCTGGGTTCAGGCTCAGCCCCCTGCTGCCCAGATGGTCTGTGTTCAGGGAATGCAAAATGATGCCTTAGCAAAACATTTGGCAAGGTAGATCCCTGCCAAAAATGCACGGCATTTCAAAGCCAGATAGAAACATCTTTGAATTATCTGTCCTTTTAAATTATTTTCTGACTAGATATTCTGGATCAGATGGGAAAGTACCATCCCTTTTTTTCCTCTTTTCTATTCATACAAGGTGCCTGGCTCGCCCAGTTTGCATTCTGTTTCCAGCTTTCCATCTCCTGCCAAGAACCGTCCCACTTTGGAACATGAAACCCTGCCAACTGCTAGGCCCGGCAAGTCTACAGATATGTCCAATGGGATGAAGAAATGATTTCAGAATGATGGAAAGGCCCTGTCTTCCTGTTCACAGGAACAGCTCCTCAAGTCAGGGGCTTGGGGCTTACAGACTTAGATTTGTCCCCTGCAGCTTCTGTAAATTAGGTGTCAGACGTGTGAGTCAGGTGGGTGTCATCCCAGACCAGCACTTTCAGCCCCATCAATCACCAGGGTTCTGTCCCTCTCAGAGCCCACTGCTCCCACCCTAGTCTAGACCACTGTGTCCTGAAATTACTAAACAGTGTCCCTACTAACCCTGCTAATCCATTCTGTGCAAGCAGCCAGAGTGCTTTTCTAAAATGCAAATCTGAGAGATTTTCCTGGTGGCCCAGTGGTTATGAATCTGCCTTCCAATGCAAGGGACTCCAGTTTGATCCCTGGTCAGGGGAACTAAGATCATACGTGCCATGGGCCAACTAAGCCCACGGCCACAACGAAGAGGCCACCACCACGTCCACCCCCCACCCCCCCATTCCATGCAGATCTGAGCAGTTCTCTCCTGGCTTCATTAACCAGGGCTCCTTACTGCCCTGAAAGGAACTGCTTTCTGTCCAACCTCCCCCAACTTCTTTTGGTTAATTTCTACTCATCCTTTAAGTCTCAGCTTCAATGTCACTTCTTTCTGAAAGGTTTCTCTGATTCTGTGTACCCATCGGAAGGGGATCATATGACTTTGCCATGTTCCCATGACACTTCACTTATCACATAAGCTACACCCAAGTTGCTGTTTAATTGCTGATCATCTTTACTAACTAAAAAAATCCATTTTACATCAAGACTCAGGCCATACATACATATAAAAATACTAAAAAGTTTCCTAAAACTCTTGTTTTGTAAAAATCCTACCCTAATCCATTTAAAACAAAATGTGGTCACATTTCACCATTGACTTTACAACCCTCAAATGGATCAGAGTTTGGGTGTGAAAAAAAAGACTCTAAATTCCATAAAGGGAGGGGCTATTTCTATCTTGTTCCTGGTAATTGGAATGGAATAGGAACTTGATTGATGTATACTGCTGGAATTATTAATAATTACATTTAATCCTCAAAAACCATTAAAAAAATACACCACCTAGTATCTCCATCTATAGGTAAGGAAGCTGAAGATGGTTAGGTTAAGCAACTAATGTCAAAAGCTAGAAAGCTGGGTGGCAGAGCCAGGAATTGATTCCAGGTAGCTGGCCCTTAGTCACAGAGCCAAGAGCTTAGCATCCCTTGGTCCAGATGCATATAGATGAATTGACTAAGCCAGACTGATTCCTTACAGCCACCTCAGTGAGCTCTCTTCTCCTGACCTGCAGAGGCTCCTTGCACAGTGTTTATGTCTATACAGAGGACAAGGCAGCTGGCAAGAGCAGCTGTTCCCCTCTGCACATACGTGCTCCAGTCAACGTCTTCAATTGTCAACAAGTTCAGCAGTAATCAGCAAGTTGGGGCACGGCATTGTCTAAAAGGAAGAGTCTAGACATCTCAGAAAATGAATTTCACATTATTATGAACTCCTTTAAGAAGGCAGCCACCCTAAGATTGAGGTCTTCATTCTGACATGGATAGGAAACTGGAATAATACTGAAAGGGTTTGGATGAGATCACCTTCCTTAGAGATCAGTGCTATTTATAGGGTTTTAATCTGTAAAGGCAACATTTGTGAAAAGACACAACTGAAATATTTAAATCATAAGGAGTAAGAATAGGTGGGGAAAAGATTTATTTGCAAAATTTCCAAACTAATTCTGAAGTTATTAGCCCTAATGCTGAACCTTTTCTAAGCTGTGGCATTTAGAGTAATAAAGAGATGGCTGGCAAAGACGTTTGTATTTTATCTTTATTAC